TGTTGACCCAGAGCAGGACGGGGCTTCTGAATGGTGTATGTTTGGCCAGCATCTTGGTGCCAACCATTCTGATCAGAGAACAGGTCCCCACCTTCAATAATCACATGAATTTACCCAACTGTCAGTTAGCAGGTAAGATTTGCTTCCTTAGCTTATGGCCCCAAAGAATGTGTCTTTCATTTTCTGTGTACTTTTCTAAGTGGTAAACCAAGCAACAAGGCCATTCACAACAGCTCAATTCAGTAAAATGTGGGAAGGCTCATCCAGGGCCATGTTCACCAGACTAGGAAAGGGACAGCTTTGAGCTCTTTGCCTATAGAGCAGAGCAGTGGTGTCCACTTTCAGTTTACATGCTGTTCCTGGGGTTACACAGCCACAGCAGCCCAATGAACCCTATCAGGTAAAACTTAGCTAAGCAATTAGTGAACGAGGCCCAGGCATTTAGGGGAATCTCTGAGACTGGTAGTACCCATTGATCCATATCTCTGACTTAGTGGGTTTCTCCCAATGCCATAACTGTCAGTTTTTCATATAAAACTCAGATGCTGTTGCTTAGGACCAGGGGATGACTGCTCTCTTAAGTACACAATTTCTATTTGGCTTGCAATGTCTTTTAGACTCTTCCCGTTTTTAAAAATCATCTGGTTCTACTTGTCTCCGTACAAATGAGAATTTCAGTCTGAAGAGTGCCAAGCCTTGGATAACAGAGTAATTGGTTTTTCAAAAGGGGTGTATGTAGTGGCCATTTTCAGAAGGTGGCACTGTGATGGTGAAAATGACCTGAGTACCTGGGCTGCAATCATTTGAAAGTAAAGCTGGGATTTCCTTCTCTGGATTCCTTACTGTTCTTGCCAGACCACTTGGGAGGGGAAAATGGAAGTGGCTTGAGGAGTGATCCTCAAGTCCCACTATCACCCCTGAATGGGAGAGTTTTCTCTAACACTTGGGTCTGAGTGCAAGCTCTTGTCCCACTGCTTCCTACTATAAAACATGGAGCCCTACTGTTAAATCTGGGTAGCTTTCCCCTACAGGAACCAGAGAATTCTAACACAGGCATGTCAAGAACTGGAGCATATGATAGCTATCAGGAAACTCTGCTAATCTTACTCCTTCGCCCCATCACCCTGGGCTGAAAGATCAAGGGGGAAGCCAGCCAGCCTGCCTGCTGGGCATGTGGAGACTGCAGAGGGGCTATAGGAGTTATGCTTTTTGATCTGTTAGTGAATGACCTACACAGAAGTAACTTTTTAAAAGCAGTCCACCTTAATTTTTTTAGGGGGAATGCTGGGTGTTGTGTTGCTGCCCCCATTGTCATATCATCCCTGAAAGCTTGCCTGGTTTTAGCATAAGGGTAGGTCTTCCAGGGCAGCAGGGCTTATTTATTCTATTTATATTTTGCTCCCTGATGAAGGCCCCAGCTTCTCTACTAGCCCCCTATCTCATAATCAAACAAACTTGTGGTACCATTTGGGCAACCTTTCACACTGCTCAGCCTCTAAACCATGACCCCACTTGTATTTGTTATCAAGTACAATGGTAGGAGATCCTGACTGTCTCCCCACCCTTCACTTGAGCGAAAGGCTTTTGCTGTTGGATCCCAGAGAGACTTCTTTTATCTCTAATCCTGACCCATGTTTTACTTCCTGTTCCGGAGAACCGTGTCTACTGGTATCCAATTCTTGTTGCCAAAGCTATTGAGTTTGGGATTTGGCTTACATGCTTTAATAAGTTAGCCTGTTAATGATTCATGGTTATTGGCAGAAAACACAAAAATCCTGATTCAGAGAAAAAGGACTTTATAGAACAACAAGCAACATAAGCACCAGCAAATTTGTTTGGTTCCCTTTGCTTCCCATGGGAGATGTATGGGCCCAGATGGAGCCCTACACATGCAGTAGGTTGCTTTGCTGCTGAGATGGGGAAATGAACAGCTTTTACAGCAAGCAGTAGCAAGCCTGCTCTTTGTCCAAGGGAAGATGTGAGTCTTTTTTGTAAGGAAAGAACTGAATGAAGGAAATAAAGAGAGAGGAGAGGTGGCTTAGCAGTTACACTGGTTTATTCAGGAACAAATCTGTGGAGGGGAGCACAGTGGAGACGGAGACCCCTCTTCTGCTTACAGCCTCAGAAAGTTTTAGGAGTATGAGGGAGTAGGGGAATTTTTGAGGTTAGCCCATTGCTAGAAGGTTGTCAGAGAAGGGTTCTTGTGGAGTCACATCCATTCTTTGAGGTGATCACTGTTCTATATTGAATCAGGTGTTTTCAGGATTCTAGTCCCAGATAATGATTTCCTTTCTTTTCATGATGATGGGATATTATCTGGGGTTTAAGGTCAAGCTGAGTCAGAGTGACTATGAGGTGACTCTTGTTCTAAGATGGAGGCTATGCTTCAGAATGGCATACCTGTGTCAAGTTCTCCCTAACATTCCTGCCTTTTTCTTTTTGATAAGAAAGAGGTGATGTCTCTTTGAACTATTTCCCTATTCCTTTTGATGGATAGCTCAGAGGTTCTGATCCCTCAGGGCAAAGCCCTACTGTAAGATTTGGGGATAAAGAGTCTATTTTTTGTCAAGTGAGAAAGCCACTTTGAAAGGGGTGAAGTAACCATGAGAGTGTTTTGCAGGGTATCAGTTTTAAAGGTGTATTATAGAAAATGAGGACCTGGAGGTTGATGCTTTCACAACTGTCTCCACACATACTTTGGAAAGATGTGCCGATCCACCATTGCACACTTCTACCCTCCTGTCTGAAGACTGCTGCCTTCCCACATGAGGGCCAAGCAAGACTACCAGTGTCCATTCTTCCACTGAATTTTGGTGAGGCTTACTTTTTTAACTTTATTTTTAAAAATTTATTTTATTTAAAACCCATACAGAAGTTTAAATATCTTCTTCTCCACCTTGGTGGACTACCTTCAGCATCCCTTAGCTCCTGGCACGGCAGTTCAGGAGTAATCAGTAGCACGACTTCTAAAAACTTGCTGGGAGTTATCAGGCCAGGGCCTGGGACAAACACCGTGAGTGAACTACAACTGGACTGAGTCCCAGAGCAATAGAATTGATCGCATGGAAGGTTCTGGGAGCCCACGACCTGTCCCCACGACTGTCCTTGGCAGAATTTTTTACAAATCAAGCCACCCCAGTTCGAGGAACTTCACTCTACTTCCATCTTTCTTTCCTTGACACTGCCTACTTTAACCTGTTCTTCTTGCTCTAGAGGAATAAGCAGAATAATAAGGACTTGAAAAAAACAAGGGATGCCTAGATCTGAGGGGGTATCTGATCTTTTGCTCAGATTCTCACTAGGGTACTGCCCCCAAGACCCTGGTGTACATGCCTGCGCCCTGAGGCCCAAGGCCTCTGTCGGCCTCTTTTTCCTCGACGCGGCCAGCAGGCGGCGCAGCCGGCCGCCTGCGTGGGGGCGACAGGCCTCCGAATGCCGTGTTAGCGCTCGGGCCTTCGCCCCTAGCTGTCGGTCTTCTGCCGAGTCAGCAAACCATCGAGAGTTGAGGCCCTCCCATTTTCCTAGAGAGAACAAGTGGGCGTTGGGGGCCGGAGGCGTGGGGGTGGCTGATGAAAAGAATGACCCGGAAGCGAAACGCGAAGAAACTTCCGTTCTTTGTTCTGTCCCCGGTGTGTGGGTCTGTGACAGGGTCCAACCGGGCCTGGTCCGTGTCCGCCCCTCCCCCACCTCCTGTCCCTGTCTCTAGGGTAAGTCCGTCTGTCCCTGAGGCTCGCGGTGAGGCGGAGGCTGTGGTCGCCAGGGAAGGGGGTGACGTCCGTGCGGCTTGCCGCCTGCGGGGATCCCCAGGCCCGCCGGAGCAGGGTGCGGGGAGGCACCCCTCCCTCCCCTACAGCTGGTCCCCGGGGACCCCAACACACGCGCACACGCACACATACACACACACAGACACGCACACACACACAAACACCACGGACCTTGCGTGGCGCAGGGAGGAAAGGGGCTCCAGTTCTGATTTTGTGGCTTAAAAAGCTCCCAGGTCGAGTGTTTAAAAGTTCCAGTGTAGCCGTAGAGGCGTCCCTCTCTAAGACAGCGGATGACAGCGACCTCAACTTGCTGCTTCTCCCAGACGCTGTTGTTTGATGGTAATAGTTTTCGGCGATTGGGCAGGAGAGGAAGTTGACTTAGCTGACTTCATGGATCAGAGAGTGAACAATTAGAACTAAGGCTGGGAGCCGGGTGCAGATTCAGATTCTGGGCACTGTCCCGCTGGGAGCCGCCCATAAGTGGTGTCTTTTATGGGAGTGATCCAGTAGGCTCTGGTTCCCGTTTTCAATCATATTGATCCCTAATTTGATCTGCTTTGGAAGTGGGATGGAACACAGTGGTGTTTATGCTCTGAAGGGCATGTGTAAACTCCACAAGAGGACAGCAGGATGATGAACTTGAAATTCATGGAATAGTTAGAGGAAGTTAAGGTATTTTCCCTCCAGAGGAGACGTTTGTGGAGAGTGGACATTGTTTGGTTTCAAGTGTTTGTTGAATAGCTGTTGAAGTTCCATTAGGGCACTAGATCTGGGGGGAGGTGAGGGTCCCCTGGAATGGGTTTTAGCATCCCTGAAGTACTCTCATAGCTATGCTATGCTGTGCACAGGTGGAGCAGACTCACTGTTGAAGTAGCTGTGTGTCCAGCAAGTTAGCTGACAGAATGATGGGAACTTCTTAACCTGGGAGAAGGTTCACCTGGAGAACCTTCAGCTGCATTTCAGATTTTTCCAGGTGCAACAGAATTATCAGTTTTTTTTTTAATATTAATCAGTATTTATTATTGTTCTGTCCTCTTTTTAATCTAAATATTTGTTTTAGAAATAAAGTTTACATGAATATTCCTTTTTCCCTTTAATCATGTAGCATTGGCATCAACTAAAATCAGAATTCCCAGGAACTTGAATAGAGGCTGCTAGATTCTCAGTCATTGTGACTTAGAATTCTAGGGAATAACTTCAAAGAAGGAAAGGACCAGACAGGTAAAGTTTTTCATAACCCATTCTCACTGCCAAGTGATCTTTCTTAGCCCCCAGGAGCAGCGCCAGGGAAAGGGATGGGCAGGGGAAGGGCCCTGTCTGGGCTCAAAGCTTTGGGGGCACAATGGAGAGTTTCTTTCTGTGAGAAACGTTGTTTACTGATACAGACACAGGGAACTTGTTTTCAACAATATGCCTTTGAGTTCCAGCTTTGTTTAACACAGTTGTAAAGAGAGAGTATTGCCTTTTTCTCTGGATTCAGAGCTTTGACTTGCCTTTCTAAGGGAAGCTTGTTGTTTTGTTTTGTTTTTGAAGATGGGGTCATGCTGTGTTGCCCTGGATGGTCTTGAGCTCATGGGTTCAAGCTAACCTTCCATCTCAGTTTCTGAATGTCTGAAACTACCACTGTTTCCAGCTTCTGAAGAGTTTGTTCTAAGAGTTGACTTGTTGTGGGTGTCTGCTTACAGTCTTGGAAATTGTAAAGGTGGTTGATAGGAAAAAAAGATGCCTGACTCTGAAACAGCCAGGAGGGTGATGGTGGCAAGAGACTGACTCACCTTGATTGCCAGTGGGCCTGCCTCATGCCCGATTCAGTGTTTTCCACTGTGAAATGCCATTGGCATTGGGCATACTGTATCTTTGCTATCCCCAAACTAGACTTGTGTGCTTTCTTGTGACTCTCGGACAAGGCTCTTCACGCTGTTATGCCTTAGGTAAATAAAGCAGCTTATAATGACGAAGCAGATACTTTTTTGCATTTCTGATTTTTTTTTTAACTCCTTGCTATAGTGCCTTGCAGTATAGCTGGCTTTCAACAAATATGTGAGCAAATGACTAAATAGATAAAAGGTAGTGGATAAAACCTTGAGTAATTTTTGTTTTGTTTTTGTGTTTGTATGCTCTGGTGGCTGCTGAATATTCTGGATGTACTGATCATGTCGCAGCCATTGACTGAAGTAGAAACTCCTACTTGAGGTTCAAACCTTACTAGAGAAACAGAGAATAGACTTTTTGATGATATCAACTGAGGAGTGAAGACATTTGTGGGGGATAAAAGCAGAATAATGAAGAACCTTATGTTTTTTTTAAAAAAAAATTTGGTCCCTGCTGGAGAGACTTATATTCTGATCCAAAGAAATGTCTTATTAGAAGAGGAAGATAAAACAAAGCTGCTGCCTTCTCAGTGAGAGGAAGCACAGAAACTGGGATTATTATTTTCATCCTTGTGAATGTATATACTCACTTTTTGTTTTTATAAATATCACTGAGAAGCCAGGTGTGGTGGTGCACATCTGTAATCGCATAAACTCAAGAGATTGAGACAGGAGGATCTTAAGTTCGAGCCCAGTCTCAGAGAGTTGTCAGGAGAGTTGGGATAAGCCCTTTTTGTGATCTTTGTGTAATTTCATTATAGGGAGTGGGTGTCGCCAGTATCAAAAGACCAGTCCCAGTTGCTGGGATGCTTACTATTGTGGATATTAACTGAGATGCTTATTCCCCTCTTTGTGTATTCAAGAGATGTTTTTAAAATTATCTTTGAACTTTTACTTCTGCAGTGCTTCCTCATTCTCATTCAACATCTGCTTCTTGCTGAGTCTTCAGATAGGAGACCAGAAACTAGAGCATCTAGCCCTACCCATGGAAACTCAAGCCAATCATGTATCTCAGGAACCTCAGGCCCTGCTTGAGAGTGGTAAGGAATAGGGATTCACTTATTTCTATTTCATCATTCAGAAATTATTTATAGAAATCTCTCATTCACCAGATACTAGAATAACTGCTAGAATCAGATGAGATAAGACATACTTCTTGCTATTCGGTAACTTACCATCTAATGGGGGGAGTTTAACAGAAATTTATTAATTTAATTAATAATTAATTTAATCTTTAATTAATACACAGCTTGATAGATGTTATAAGTGAGGCATTTTGAAGGATTGTAGGCACCTCCTGCAGGATTAAGAAAACTCACAATCACTTAATTCCATTTTTCAGGCATCTGTAACAGACAACTTCATGGTCATAATTTGGGCTCTTTAGGAGCAAATTCTTAGAATAGACTTTGGGGAATCATTTTGTAGGTCATGGGCAAAAGAATAAAGTGGATATTCACTAAAACATATCTTGCTTTTATAGACTATCTCTGACTTTTGAACTAGTTTCAGCCTGAATGGGAATTGTTTTCATGCTTATCAGGAAAAAGCATTTAGGACCCTTTTTGTCAGGACTAGTATATCTAGTGGTTTAGAGTGTCTAAGAGACAAATATGAAAAGTTATGTGATCAAGCACAGGAACAGGAAATATTTATAGTATATAGATTTTATCTGGGAATAAAGAAAAAGTAGATGAGTTTTATTTTCAGTCAGGGCTGGGGAGAAGCTGCTCGTTTTCCTCTGCCTGAGAACTTCATGTGGGAGTTTGTGCTTAGAGATGTGGAAGAATGATAGAAAAGACATAAGAGTGTAGCCTGTTCCTGACTCAGCTTGGGAGAGTGGACAACAACACAGGAAAGATGAAACTAGGCATTTTCATTAAGAAGAGTGACCAGATGTCAGAGACAGACTGACTCACTTCTGGGCCCTTTTATTATCTTTCAGCTCTTCCTTCTTCGAAAGTTCCTGCCTTTTCTGACAAGGACAGCCTGGGGGATGAGATGTTGGCAGCTGCACTCCTAAAGGCCAAGTCCCAGGTGAGCTCTGGTTCCCTTCACCCATTTTCTGCCCAATTTGTGGGCAGCTTTTGTGCAGTGACATCCCATTCAGTGTCCTAAATCTGGATTCTGACCATTAGGACTATGGTCCTTCCTACTGAGCCAAGGTCCTTCACCTTCTGTCATAGACTCTTACCTCTCATTCTCTATTCAGACCTCCTTTTCCCACTTCCCAAAGAGGCATTAGTCAGCCCCATCCTGACTTGTGTTCTTGGTGCTGCTGGTCCCAGCCCTCACCCTAAAATTGTATGCATTGCTGTGTTGTTTCAGGAGTTGGTGACATTTGAAGATGTAGCTGTGTACTTTATCCGGAAGGAGTGGAAGCGTTTGGAACCTGCTCAGAGGGATCTCTATAGGGAAGTGATGCTAGAGAATTATGGGAATGTATTCTCACTGGGTAAGGAGCTGCATGCTCTCAACAGAGCTCCCGGCTGTCTGGTTGCTTCCTTGTTTGCTAGAAACAGTCCAGTGACTGAAAACAAGTAGTGATTGACTCAGCCTCAAAAAATTCTAATAATAATTATTATTATACAATAATTTACAGTTTTCATGTATATTCTCTCATTTAATTCTCATAGTAATGCTGTAATTGAGGTTGCTAGTATTATCCTCTTTTTTTTTTCCTTGTACTGGGGATGGAACCCAGGGCCTTGCACATGCTAGGCAAACACTCTACCACTGAGGTACATCCCAGCCCTATTGTCCTCATTTTATAGGTGAGGAAAGTAAGATCAGAGATCTCAAGTGCCTTGTGCATTGTCATAGAGCTGGTAAGTGGCAAAAATTGATCCCTAAGGATCTTTTAACTCCAAATCTGAACTTTTTCCATATGTTCTCTGAACATACAATCCAGAGATTTTTCTGAAAAATAAGTATGTTGGGATCCTTGTGTCCAAGTGAAAATTCTAGGACTCTCCTTTCCTTCCCTGTTGAATTGCCCTAGGGACCTCTTGCTTTGTTTAGGTTCTCATGCACCTGCTGCTTTTGTAAAAATATAAACTTGTAAGTAGAAATTACCTTCAGGATTAATTCTTCCGGGCTGGGGATACAGCTCAGTTAGTAGAGTGCTTGCCTTGCATGTATGAGACCCTAGGTTCAATCCCCAGTACCACCAGCACCACCACAACAAAAGATTAATTCCTCATCTCTTGCCCCACTTTTAGTGACACTATTTTCCTGAGCAGAGCCAGGGGTCTTCCTTACTCCCAACTGAGACCTGCCTGTATAATTCCTTTCTGTTCATAGGAAATCTGAGATCTTGGATTGCACTCTGGGACAGCTTAGTATGAGCAGGATAAACTTCCTTGTCCCAAGACTCTCTCCATGAGTAGGATTCCTATTTGTGAATCCTGATACCATCTCTTGGCTGGAATGAGTGGAAGAGTTCAGGGTCCTGAGTTGGAAAGGAACTGAGAACAGAGAAGTCCAAAGAGATACCTGTTCAGGCCAGGAGAAACAGCTGTGTCTATTTCTGACCCTCAGTGCCCTGTCTGCTTTAAAAAATATATAAACTAAAAATGCTAACTATCTGAACCCTTTACAGTTATTCTCTGTGCCTGAAGTTTGGAAACTCCAACAGAAGTAGTGAAAACAGAGGTCACATATGGTTTACATAGCCTCCCACACCCGCACAGCTTTCTAGGCCTGGAGCCTAGAGGTAGACTAAGCTGTCTTGCCTATTTCTGTGGGTGTTGCTTATGTGACGTGACTACAGATGGGATTGTTCTGCTCACATGGGGCCATTGAAATCCTCAGTATCTTCACCCTTCTGCTCCTTTCCACTCTCCCACATGTTTCTTAGCACTCTCATCAACTTTCTCATCAAGTATCTATGTTAGTTTTTCATATTTGCTTTCCTCTCATTTTTTCTTTTTTCTTTTTTTAATATTTTATTTATTTATTTTTACGTGGTGCTGAGGATCGAACCCAGCGCCTTGCAAGTGCTCTACCACTGAGCCACAACCGCAGCCCCCTTCTTTTCTTTTTTTTCTTTTTCCCGCAGTACTGAGCAGTAAGTAAGGGGAAGGATCTCAGAGCCTTGCACATGCTAGGCAAGTACTGTGCTACTGAGCTACATCCCCAGTCCTTTTTAGTTTGAAACAGGATATTGCTAAGTTGCCAGGCTGGCCTCAAACTTATGATCTTCTTTCCTGTCTCAGTTTCCCAAGTAGCTCGAATTATAGTTGGGGCCACCATGTCCTGTATCCCCATCATTTTTGTTTCAGTGGTACAGGGAATTGAACCCAGGGATGTTCTACCATTGAGCTACATTTCCAGCCCTTTTTACTTCTTATTTGAGACAGGGTCTCACTGAGTTGCTTAGTCTGGCCTCAAATTTGAGATCCTCCTACCTCAGCTTTCCAAGTCCCTGGGATTATAGGCATGAACCCTGACTCTCCTGTTTTTGTTTTTTGTTTTTTCTTTTTCAATTTTGTTACTGGGATTGAGCCCAGGAATTGAACCCAGGTGTGCTTTATCGCTGAGCAACATCCCCAGCCCTTTTTAATTTTTTTTTTTGCCTCAGCATCTCACTAAGTTGCTTAGGGCCTCACTAGATTACCGAGGTGGACCTTGAATTTGTGATACTCCTGCCTCAGCCTTCTAAGTCACTGGGCATGCCCAGCTTCTCTGTCATTTTTTAAATTGTCTTTGCAGTAACCATCTATCTCCTGAATTATATATATAGACTTTTACTTCTCCTTGGAGATTTCATTAAGTAATATGGCTTTCCTGTTAATAATTTTGGTTCCCAACTCTCCACTGAATCCATAAATCTCTTTACATCCTCAGCTTTCTGTGTACTTTTAACTCTTTCTCCTTGATTTTGCTTTTTGCCTTACTCTTTCCCTGTTTCCTTAGCCTGTTTATCTTGTTGTACCTTAGCTACACTTAAGTAGGCCTCTTTTAGGTATGTACTTTTAGCATTATAAATACAAGTCACACAATTATCTTGTCCTCTGTATTTTATTCTTTTTTGCACAAGGAACAAGTGACATTTGCTTTTTTTTTTTTTTTTTTAATTGTGCTAGATGGTGAATCCAGAACTAAAAATGATCAAGAAATTTCTGAAGATACAGGATCACATGGGGTGCTGTTGAGACGATTCCAGAAGGATATTTCTCAGGGTCTTAAGTTTGAAGAAACCTATGAACAAGAAGTTAGTCTAAAGAGGCAACTAGGGAACTCCTCTGGAGAAAGATTGAATAGGAAAATACAAGATTTTGGTCATGTGACAGTTAAGGAAAAGCTTACCACTGTGGGAGAGAGAAAGGAGAAACATAATGAGTTTAGGAATAGCTACACTGTGAATTCCAACCTTATTTCCCATCAGAGACTTCTTATGGGAGACAGACCCCATAAGTGTGATGAATGTAACAAGAGCTTTAATCGAACTTCAGACCTTATTCAACATCAGAGAATCCACACTGGGGAAAAGCCCTATGAATGTACTGAATGTGGGAAGGCTTTCAGCCAGAGTTCTCATCTTATTCAGCACCAGAGAATCCACACTGGGGAGAAGCCTTATGAATGTAATGATTGTGGAAAGACCTTCAGTTGTAGCTCTGCTCTCATTCTCCATCGGAGGATCCACACCGGGGAGAAACCTTATGAATGTAATGAGTGTGGAAAAACTTTTAGCTGGAGCTCCACCCTGACTCACCATCAGAGAATCCACACTGGTGAAAAGCCCTATGCCTGTAATGAATGTGGGAAGGCCTTTAGTAGGAGCTCTACCCTTATTCATCATCAGAGAATCCACACTGGAGAAAAACCTTATGAATGTAATGAGTGTGGGAAGGCCTTCAGCCAGAGCTCACACCTCTATCAGCATCAGAGAATTCACACTGGAGAGAAGCCCTACGAATGTATGGAATGCGGAGGAAAGTTTACTTACAGTTCAGGCCTTATTCAGCATCAAAGAATCCACACAGGGGAGAATCCCTATGAATGTAGTGAGTGTGGGAAAGCCTTCAGGTATAGCTCTGCTCTTGTTCGTCACCAGAGGATTCACACTGGAGAGAAGCCTTTGAATGTAACGGGTATGAGCAAAAGTTCCCTCAGAGTTACTGCTGAATTAAGTATCAGAGAGTCTACATGAAAGAGAGCCACATACTATTTTCCTCACTTCCCCTGAGTTGAAAGAGCTCTTGCCTTACTGCATAAGTGTGAACAAGTTAGGATGTGTCCCTTCCACCTCAGACCTTTCACTTTAGAAAAGGGACAGATTGGGTGATCAGCAACCTACTAGATTTCTCAGCAGTGACACCAGCCTTTAAAATCTGTAAGGCAAGCAGTGGATAAAGTGCAGGGAACCGAAGGAAGCCTGGAGTCCAGTCAAACTTATTTGGGTGGGAGATTGCACTAACCCTTCTTCTTACACCAGAGGAGCCTTTCTTTCCAAGGTGGGGAGTGGAAGCTTAGTAGGAACAAAATTCCAAGGATTCCACTAGTTGGAATCATGTACAGTGAGCACAGAAGGCAGCAGAAAGAATGTTCTGGGTCCTCCTATTTGCTGGGAAGGGAAATAGAGGCTGTATTTCAAATCCACTCTTCCCAATTCAGCTTTAAGATTTGTGTTGTTTCGTGATTTTATAACTTGGAGAAACTAGGTGTTGAGGGGTTTGCTATTTTATTGAGGAGGGGGAAAAGACCCCAGAGAGAATTTCTGTGATGACTGTATCCTGTAGGGCTCTTGGCACAGCAAGACCACAAATCCAAGAGCAACATCCCCAGCCCTTTTTAAAAATTTTTTATTTTGCCTCAGCATCTCACTAAGTTGCTTAGTGAGATGGGCAGACCCCTCATGGTCCTCTTGGTTGTAGTGGGACTGAATGGGAAAGCCATGTAAGCAGTGAATAACCTGAGGGAACAGATAAGAAGCATACAGCATTGGCCTCTGATTCCTGTCCCCTCTCCCTCTTCCTACTCCTGTGAAGACAAGTAATTTAATCCCACCCTCTAGTTATTAAGGATGCTTTTGAGGAGCTCACTCTGCCAACCTATTCTGTCTTCTGTCATCTCTAATATCTGGCCTCAGCAATCTGAACTCTCCTGACTCCACGTTGACTTCAGCCGCGGAGGATTAATGCAAATAAAGAGAAAGCCCAGAGGAGGCAGGCTGTGGCTTGAGCCTGGTGGAGGGCTCCTGTTGGGTTAGGATGGTGCTCCCTGAATTTTCCTGGGCCAAGGGATGATCTTCCATTGTGTTTCCCTGATCCTGCTCATCCTGTAGCATTAATGAAGTGCACTATTAAACAGAATAGTTTTTTCAGAAGGAGATTTAGTGGGTTTTTTTTTTTTTTTTTTGTACAGGGACCGTATTCATTCAACTAAAACAGGACACAGTGACTATAAGTGGAATTTGAACATTAAACTTGATACAGACAGCAATTTGTCTTTAAATTGCAAACATGAGATTTCCCTTTCTCTCAGGCTCATTCTTCTAAGACTGTCTCAGAATCACTCCCACCCTCATATCCCATTTAGAATTTTATGAGTTACAGATATTCTGTGTGGCACAATACTTTTTTTTTTGTACCAGGGACACTTAACCACTGAAACACATCCCCACCCCTTTTTATTTTTTGAGACAAGTTCTCACTAAGTTGCTTAGGGCCTTGTTAAATTGCTGAGGCTGGCCTCAAACTTGTGATCCTCCTGCCTCAGCCTCCTGACTTACTGGGATTACGTGGGTGTGCTACCATGCCTGGCTGTGGTACAATATATAAGACCAGCAACCAAAAATAGAATGGTGGTACTGGGGTATGGGGTACCTGAGAAGAGAGTACTTGGTTGTTGGGTAGTCATGGGCAAATTTAGATTTCTTGTTTTGCCTATTTGCCCTATGAAGGATAGGTTGAAAATCTGAAGAAATTCAGAAAATGTATGGAGCTCTGGCCTATTTGGAAAGTTTTGGATTATATATTGTGATTGATCATCTGTTTTTAATTTCACAAAACTAATGAAACTGATCATTTTGATTTTAAAATTTATTTTTTATTAGAGATTAATGGTTACACATAGCAGCTGGGTTCATCCTGACAAACTCGTACATGCCTGGAAATCAATTTCAGTTAGATTCCCTTTTTCTTACCCAGTCGTTTTGACTTTTAATATTTGCCACATATTTGCAGATTCACTTTATTATTCAAAGTGTGGGCTTGAATTACCGATATTGGAATTATAGATTTTTGAGCTCGAAGTCAGACCTATATGATTCTGGGAATAGAGTTAAAATTTACACTGAGAAGGAAGAAATAGTCATGGAATAGTTAAAATTTTTATTGCTGGGTAGAAGTTAAAGCTGAGCTAAATCTTAGAAGACAGAGTGAGGAGGAATTCATTTTGTGCGTCTCTGGAAAAGACCTCTTAGCAGGTAAGATAGCTGGGTGATGGGTAGTCACTAAATATGAAGGCTTAGCTCCTCTGCTCAGATGTGGAAACAGACTGAAATCGCCCCAAAAGGATCTTATGACAATTCTTCAGAAGGTCCTAGTAGGGCCTATTGCTGATCATGGTGGTTATGTGAAAAGTCAAGATTTTTAAAATAATTTTGAAACTACATTTTACTTTATTTTCCTACATATCATCCGTATTTTCCATGATTTTTTTCTATAATCGTTGGAATCTATTTATTCCCCAGGCTTCAACTATCACCTCTATGTAAATGAGTCATTAGACTGCATGTGTGGTACTGATCTCACAAGTTCAGTGTTGGGTCTCCAGCATAGCATTCACACTGGACTTGTTCATTTCAAACTAGATACGCCTTTCCCACTTAGTATTCCCCTCAAAATATCTGTAAGCTCTTGAGTCAAAACCTGTAGTTTTCTTCATACTCTGTAACCTCCCACATCTAAGTAGCGTTGAGTCTTGATGCAGGTTAGGTAAGCTTGGAGTGAGTGGAAAGAGATTATTTTCAGGGAAGTTTTCTGGGTTGAGGAAGAGAGTAGCTTTCCAGGTGATGGTAACAGAAGCTAACACTTGGCCTTTCTCTGTGCTAGCCTTACTTGGCCCCTTTCCAAGTGTTTTTCATATATTCAGTCATTGGATCCTCACAACAATCTGTGTGAAGCAGGTGGGGTTGGTATTTCCAATTTATAGACAAAAGCAGTTACCCAGTGAGCTAAGATGGTGAGTTTAGAGAATAGATCTCCCCTGGGCTGCTCTGCTTGGTGGGTGTCTGGGCCACATGGCCCAAATGATGGCTGTGAGGTGGGGAAACATGGGAAGGTTGGCACTATGTCAGTCTTATTGTTGGAAACCTTTCAGTGGCTTCTCCCTTATAGAAGAATAAAATGATAGAATAAATTTATAAAATAAAAATTCTAGCTCAGCCTTAGAGTCCAGGCTGTCCTTGAGCCGATCTCTACACATCAGAGTAACCTTATGTCTTCTTGTTGCTCCTCTTGACATATGAAACAGCAAAATAACAAAGCCTCAGAAACATCCAACACTCATGCCCATGAGTTTGCCCACAGGCGTTCTTATGTTTAGCTCTTCACATGGAATCAATAAAAACCAGAGTCAAAGAAACCATTTTTCGGGGGGCAGGGGTTGCTAGGGATTTAGCTCAGGGGTGCTGAGCTACATCCCTAACCCATTTATTTATTTATTTTGATTTTTTTTTTTAAATTTATAGACAGATTCTCACCAAGTTGATTATGGCCTCCATAAGTTGCTGAGGCTGGCCTTTCTCTGTTACAGCTGCTGGGATGGGAGGCTCTCTGTTGCACAGGGCAAAAGCATACCTACCACTCCAGTGTTCATCCTTCTAATTACTGGAAATTAAGTTGGGCTGAATTCTACCTCCTTTTAAATTCCTCTGGTAGCTTCTGATGTTTTCTTCTCAACCTACACAATGTAGTCATTTGTAAAAATAAAAGGGGCTGGGTTGTGGCTCAGTGATAGAGGGCTTGCCTAGCATGTGTGTGGCACTGCTTTCAACTCTCAGCACTGCATATAAATAAATGAATAAAATAAAGGTCCATCAACAACTGAAGACATATTTTTAAAAAATAAGAGGGACAAGATTTGCAAGGACATATTCAGTCATAGCAAAAATAATTTCATTATTGATAGTTCCTCCCATTCCAAATCATTCCTGTTATTTGAAATACAGCCCGAAGGATTTTGACAAAGGATATGTTGCCAACTAAGAGAAAAGTCCAGTTTAATCTGAACATTTCAGGTAACAGAAGTATGAACCATGGAGTGGTGGAGAAGAGCATCTTAATGAACTGTTCCTTTTTAGTAAAAGATTGTTTTTTAAATCTCCCCAGAGATTTTTATTTATACATTGTTTTCTAGAGTTTAATAATTTTCTTCCACTTGAAAAATAAAGCCCAGTTAGCTGCTTTGTGTTTGTGTGTGTGTGGTACTGGGGATTGAACCCAGGGATTCTTTACCACTGAACCATATCCCCTAGTCCTTTTTATTTTGACACAGGGTCTTGCTAAATTGCCTGAGCTGACCTTGAACTTGTGGTCCTCCTGCCTCAGCTTCTTGTGTCGATAGGATTACTGGTGTGCGCCACCATACCCTGCTAGTTGCATTACTTTAAATGTAGTCATGAAGAGAAAGGTTCTGAGATGAATAAAAAAATTACATAAGTATTTTCATATGCAAAGATAAATATAGTCACCAGAGTAGTTTTCCAGAAATAACACAGGTTTCTTCTGAGCTTCCTCCACAAGTGGTTTTTCTTTTGTACTCCCTCTTGGGTTGCTGACATCACCAACTTCCCATTCAGCCTTAGCTAGAAACACAGGAATTCCAGAGGCATTGTTTCTTTCCATCTCCTCACCCTGCCGCTGACAATCAATATCTAACCCATCCTTTGTTCCCCATTCCCGTGACTCCCTTGTTGCCATAGGCCATCCTTGACTCTGTCCAGGATTTTGACACCAGCCTTAAGTCTATCTGCTTCCTTCATTCTCCCTCAGTCCATTCTTCATTCCCATGCATGAGTTCTCTTTCTAAAATGCAAATTGGAAGCCACCATCTCAGAATTTTCCTTGGTCCCTCTCATCCTAGGTCAAAGTTCAGATTCTTCATCATGCCACAGGAAGTCCTAGCCCAGCCCCCTTCCCTGTTCTAACCTCTTGACATTGCTCTCACCCACTCCTTCCTACCACCGTCCCCTGGCAGTTTTGCAAAACTACAGTCACAGGGACATAAATACGGTGCAGTGCCTCTGTCCCACTGCACCTGCTATTCCTTCTTCCTGAATGCCCTCCATTCCTGTCCTGACAAACTTGTCTTTGAGAACCTTATTATAAGCTTTGCCTGTGCTGTGGGGCCTTTCTGGTCCACTGCGCATACCACCTTCCACCCTGACCAAGTTAATCATTTCCTTGGAGCTGTCTCGGCATCTAGTACATTCATTATTGTGGTTGGCCCCCCAACCCCATCATTTATTCCTTGTTAAAACATTGGACTCCCTCACTGTGGTGGTTTTTTCCCCTACGTTTTCACACTTTTCTACCACAAATATATATTACTTTCATAATAGAAAAAATAGCAGTAGATTGTGTTCTTAGGCCCTGGGTTTGATTTCAAGCATGTGCATGTGTGCATGTGCACACACACAAAGTAAGAGTAATAAGTAGCATCCATTGAGCATTTATGATGTGTCAAGCATTCTTCCAAGTGTGTCACAAGTTAACTAATTTTTATATAAATTCTATAGTACCTTTACTGCCTTCCCTTTCCCTCTTCAGGAAGATACAAAATATCTTTGCATATGTAATTTTTTATTCATCTCTTCATGACTACATTTAAAGTAATGCAACTAGCAGGGTATGGTGGCACATACCAGTAATCCTAGAGACACAGGAAGGCTGGAAAGAGAAAGGAGTTCACCAGATACACAAAAAATGGTGCAGTGAGATTCAGATACAGTTGGTGCCTAAAGTGCAGGCTACATCTCTTTTATCCCCAGACTGCCAGAGGGATACCCAACCCTCCTCAAACACCCCTTTTCTCTCACCCATGCTTGAAGCTCTTCAACAGCAGTTCAATAAGAAAGCACTTGCACTGTACAGGAACACAATGATGAATGAACCATACATAGTTCCTGTGTTGAAGGGCACCAGTCCAGCAGGACATAAGGCCCATATTGATAACACAAGGTAGAACGAGACGCCAAGAGAGGAACAGTAATGGTAAGAAGAGCTGATCCTTAATAACTGCTTACCCAAGTGCCAGCCATTGTTGTAGCTTGTCTTCACAACAATCCGGTGTGGTTTTAGTCCTATGAATAACCCTGTTTACAGATGGGAAAACTGAGACACAATGGTTGAACCACTTGCCCATCGCTCCAGAGCCAGGAAGCCATGGCAGGGGCCAAGCCCAGTCTGTCTACAGAGCTTGGGCCTTCATCACACCACTTTATTGTCTCTCTGTAAATACCATGGGGGTTTCAGAAGAAAGCAAGCTTATGTGCTGCTTGGGGAGAAGCAAGGCACATAGAAGTCCCGAGACTTCTCAAGGAATGGCACAGATGCTCAGCTGGGTACCCAGACAGGCAGAATGTGTGCCTGACAAAAGAGAGGTATAGAAATAACTATTCTGTGTTGCTCAGGTAAATAAACACCTATTAAAGCATCCTATGCTTCAGGCTTTGTGTCAGGGAAAGGCAGATGATAGTTAGCAGTAGGCATGGGAAAGAGGGACAGATTTTGGAGGGCAGTGAATGCCTGTGTGGGTCCCCTGGACAGAAGGGACTGGAGTGAAAGCTTTTGATCCATGAATAGCTAATAGAGATAGACACGATGTAGACATCTCTCTGAGAACACCGTATGTTAAGATGGGTCTGGCCCTCCAGCACCATTAGTGAAACTCACAGAGAATATGGTTTGGAGGTTTCTTAGAGAGGCTGGGCTTCGGGCCAGTGTCCCAGACACATCTGGAGAGAGATGGTGGGAACTCAAGGGAAGGACTCCCCACACTCTGCCTGTAGCATGGTAACCCTAGGGCTACCATGATATGCTCTCTCAACTGGACTGGCCTCCCCTTCCCATGATGGGCCCCCTCAGAGCCAGATCCTGTGTCTTGGGTGCTTTGCAGAGATCAAGTATACTCTAGGAAAACAGGATGCTGTCACCCCTAGTGACCTCAAAGCTCACTGCTATAGACTGACCAGGATCACAGGACCTCCTATACTGACCAGGAGCACAACTGGGCATTTTAGGAGTGGAGCCTAGAATGTTCCAACTAGTTTAATGTCTTCTTCTTTTTTCTTTTCTTTTTATCTTTATTTATTTATTATTGGGTACCAAGGATTGAACTCAGGGGCTCTTGAGCACTGAACCACATCCCCATCCTTATTTTGTATTTTATTTAGAGACAGGGTCTTACTGAGTTGCTTAGTGCCTTGCCATTGCTGAGGCTGGCTTTGAACTTGTGATCCTTCTGTCTCAACCTCTCAAGCCTCTGGCATTATAGGTATGTGCCGCCGTACCTGGCCTCTATTTTGACTTTGATGCACAATCAAGTTTAGGAACCACCAATGTAAGTCCTCTCTGGGTCCACTGGCAATACAAAAGATGTCAAGAGCTTTGTAATGTTTTGAACAACCAATAATAAAAAAAAAAGAAAATGGTAAGCTAGAAATTAACCTTAAGACCTTCAGATAAGAAAGAACACACACACACAAATAAAGGAATTGAACACTAAAAAAAAAATAAATTAAAAAAAAAAATAAAAGGAAAACCCAACAATCTCTTCACCTTGTTTCCTTTATCCACTTTTTCCTATAAAGCTTGGATATCTGCTGAGCCATTCAGTCCTCTTTCGAACATTCTTTGACCCTCTGTACACCAGGAACCCACCAGTGACCCAAGGCTCTCTCTCTAAACTATCACCTCATCTCTAGACAAAATGGCTTAAGGGCTTGGCACTGGGGCTGGTGGGGGGGGACAGCTGCAGCAAAGACAGGTCAGTGTAGGACAGCAGGGAGTTCTAGGGCCTCTAGCCATGGGGATAAACTTACCAGAGCAGCAGGAATTTCTCCCTGGGATGAATGACCTGTCAGAAGAGAGGATATGAAAGGGTAAAGAGAGAAACAGCTATTTTGTGGTCGATAACATCAAGTGCACTAGTCCCATTTGACTGGAACAGATGTGTATCTGGGGTGAGGGAGGTCATGTGTGGGAGAGGATTCCCACAGGAGATGAGGTGGGAGTGCTTGTTAAGGGTCAGTCCATGTTAAGGACCTGGCCTCTTTCCTTTCTATAGCAGGCAGTCCAAGGAAGTTGATAAACAAGAAAGTTCAATGAAAAACAGGAGACTGCCTGGTTTTAGTTGGATCTCAAGATAAAAGGTACCTGACAACAAAGCTGCTGGGATCTGAGGCTGTTAATGAAGCAGAGCTCCCGGATTTCCTCATGCTGAGAATAACAAACTTCCTCATGCTGAGGGCAGATGCCAAGGAAATTAAGACTGGCATGTTCTCCAGCTGCACATAGCCTAGCTAAATCTCCACGTGTATATCACTCAGCTTCTGTTTCTGTAAATTGTAACCCCTTCTGTGGATCCAGGCAGGGAAGTAATCTAGCTGCTTTTCCCCAGTTTGATCAAACTGCATAAAATTCCTTTTGTCTATATCTTACCCTGGAGGGTGGCTGAAACTGGACAGTTGGGATCTAAGCAGTCTCCCTGGCTGGGCTGCCGATTACAGAATGGTGTCTCTGGTGGGATTATAATGCCATTCATGGCTACTGGCCCTGGAGGAGGGGAACAGGTAGGGAATGTCCCTGCAGCTGTGAAATTAATATTGTTCCAGCTCTCTCCTTTCCCTTTGCTGCTTATTTATTTATTTTTGTCCTTAGAGTGTTGGGAATTGAACACAGGGCCTTGCACACGCCAGGCAAGCACTCTGCCACCTTTGCTGCTTTTTTTTTTTTTGATAAAATGGAAAAATGAATTTTAGAAATCTGTGGGCCCAAAGTCTGGTTGTTCCCTAGTCTCACTGGCAGTGTGCATAGACCCTTGTCCTCCTTTTCTGTTTTCTGGGGTTATTTCATAAATTTGGGATTTCTTTTAAACTAATGTGGGGTTCTTGAACTATTTGGTAGTCCAGAAATTCTGGCCTTGTCCTTGGCAGGTTTGGTTTGTCTGGTGCCAATTCAGTTTGTTTGGAAAAGACCCCAAGATAAGTAGAGATCTGGGGTGTTTGTGAGATCTCTGTTATGAAAATGGAAAGTGCTAATTCTATCTTGGAGCTCCTTAGAGAAGTTTTGATCACCACATGGCCCATATATCTGAAAGTGCATTGTTTTTTTTTTGTTTGTTTATTTTTAATTTTAATTTTTATTTGTTTTAATTAGATACGCATGACAGTACAATGATCTTGAC